TATATATATAAATGGCAACATGCGATACAAATAAAAACATAATAAATTATGAGGTTTTGGGTATTTTGGGTTTTTTTGGTACAGAAGGAAACACTGAGTCCTAAAGGGATGAAATAACTTCTCCAAGGTCTCACAGGACAGCAGCAGCAATGAGAACAGGGGTGTAGGTCTCCCGAGCCCCATCCAAGGCCTGGACCTGGGACAAGAAGGGACCGGGAGGTCCCTGCCGAGGCCAGCGGTGGAGGTCAGGTCCCGCCTGCTGCCCTCCCTGCGCAGGGAGCCCCTCTCCAAACCACAGCTCCACCACCGAACTGGTCACAGCCGCAGACCCACTGACAGCTCCCAGTCCTGCAGGGACTCAGACGGGCGGCGTGGCCACGGGGCAGCACAGCGCCCTGCCCGCACAGTGGACACCGGGTACGCTGCATCTCGCGCTCCACCACCGAAACAGCCCGACCAGAACGACGTTCCCCCGTGAGCCCGGCTGCGACGCGCACGAGAAACCGGTGCTGCGGTTGGTGGCACGTTGCAGTGACCTGTTCGCTAGAGCACAGAAAAGCTTTCGGGCAGGACCCTCCCCAGAGGATGTCTCAGTACCTCGTCCTCCACCAGGTACCTCCAGACACACACATCTAAAAATCCTACACGGGAGTCCTGCGGGTACGTGCGCGGTTACCACGCCGTTACCCTGCTCACCGACAGGGCGATGCTTTCGGCCGACGGCAGCAGCTGCAGGATGAGACGCATTCTTTCCGTTACACGATCCGGGAAGATCAGAGTGCCACAGGTCTGCTGCTGGTTTGATGTTAACAGATGAATCAAAAAATAAGCACTTCAAAGGAACACGCGCGGGGAAGGAGAAACCCAAGCTACCACCATGAAATACTGCACAGCACACACACCCCAAACACATAAACCGGCTCCTGGAAAATTCGACCGGAAAGCCGGTGGATCAAAAGCTCCTCCAGCGAGGCTGCAGAGCACGGCTGGAACAGAAATAAACAGGGCAGTGGTGGTGGAAGGGGCAAACCGAGAGAGCGGCTCGTGTTCAACCTGGGGACAAAGCTGCTCACTGTGGTCTGCCGCCGCCAGAGACGACGGGAGCTCCGCAGCCAGGGCTGGCCCAGCGCGGGCAGGGACCTCTCCAACTCGTAAGGCAGAGAAGACCTCAAAGTGCTCACAAGGTGTAAACTTAGAGCACTCACGCAGCCCCTGAGCTGACACAGACAGACCTGGCCTCCGAAAGCCAGACTGGAAGAGGGAACGTTCTGGCAGTTTCCACCCCAAACTCAGCCGCACGGGGCCAGTCCTCGCCCAGCCCTCCCGAGGCAGGCACGGACAGGGCCAACAGCCTCGCGGCACAAAGGAGGCAAGGCCATACCAAAACCAAGGCAGGTGAGGAAATCCTGAGCGGGGGAGCAAAGGGCAGCGATGCCACGCAGGAAGGTGAACCCCATCCTCTGGGCTGGATTAATTTCACCATTAATTGCCTCTCTCTCTGCTAGCAAATGCAACAACCGCAAGGCCTTGCCCTGGAAACGCCTGATGGGCCGGCTCGGACGCAGTGATTTTCTCTGGAACGGCTCTCGCTGTTGCCAACACGGGGAGGGCTCCATGGTGGCGTCGGCTGCACCGAGCAGGGCGCCAGACGCGCTGCCCAAACTGGCATTAACACCACGACACGGAAACAGGACCAAAGGCAAGGAGAGGAACAAACAGCTCCCCTGGCCTCCTGCCCACGGCGCTGGCCAGAGGAAACACCCCCAGATCTGACCAGAGGATCTCAGTATTTACGTGGAAGCCGAGGACTCCTTCGCCCTCTGAAGGCCGACCACAGCCTCCTGCCCTCTTTGCTGCCTTGGCTTCTCCAGTGGCTGCTGCTCTCACCTTCTGCTACCTCCTTCCCAGTGGTAATGCAGCAATCGATGATTTTTCCACTAGCGCACCCCAGAAACGCACGACGCGAGTGCCTGACGCTGGGAGGAGACAGGGAAGGAGCAGCTCTGAAAAGCTCAGCTGGGCCAGGAAAACACGAACCAGCAACCGGAGCCGCAAGGACGCCAACGCCAGGCGCTGCAGCAGGGAAGCTGCAGCTGATCAGTTCTGGGGAGCAGAACATTACAAAACACTTCAAGGGACACGAGGAGAAGGCAGCCAGCAAAAACAGCAACAGAAAATCAAAGCAATGCCTTGAAGTCTTTATGGGTTCCAAAAACTCCATGTTGCTGCCAATCCGTGTGCTCACTATACTGTAAATACACTCATATTTTGGGAGAATTCACTTCAGACAGTTCTTTCAGCCCAAGCATCTTGGCAAACACATTGGCAATATTTATCCTTTTTCCTTGTTTTGCTCGCAGCGTAAATGTTCTCCCTTCGTTGTGAGCAACTGGATTTAATGGAAGTGGCTCCAACCTTATCAGCTTGAAGGGAGCGAGAGGGCAGGGAGAGAGCAGAAGTGTTGATTGTACGGTGCTGCAGCATCTGCAGCGACTCCTCTTGCTGGCTTCAGCGCAGATTTCGGTTATTTTAAACACAGGAACGCTCAGATGTGCTCACGTTGCTGCCTCGGACGCCACCACCTTTGCTACAGACAGAGCAGGGGCGAGGATGGCCGGGCACAGCGAGGTGCAGCTCCGCCATCCAGACCTGGCGTGGGATGAGCCCCCCAGCAACACCACGGAGCCAGCAGCTGCCCCTTCTGCCCCAGGGGTGGGGTTGTGACACCACTGGGCTCCAGGACAACACCTTCCTGAAACAGCCGGGCTGGCAGCGGCCACCACACTCAAACCCCCGTGTCCTTGGAGGGTGCTGCTTCCTTTCCCTATGTACCACGGCCCTTCTCAAAGAAAAGGAGAAAACAGAAGGTAATTAAGTGGTTTACAACTAAACTGAAGAGAAGAAGTAACTGGAAGCTTCTCTGCCAGTCCTATTAGGGCAGCACCGACGTCCCACTCGGGTTCAGACATGACAGCATCGTGTGTTTTGAGGCTGGCAGCCCAGAAAACCAGGGCTGTGCAGAGCCGTCAGCCAAGCTCTGCTCCTTCACTCCTTGGTTCTCTTCAGTACTCCTCGTTTTCTGTTCCTCAAGAGCTTAAGCACCATATTTGGGGAATAAGAATCTAAGAAGTCCCTGAGAGCAAAACGAGAATAAACTACATTTAAAAAAATGGAAAAGCGTTTATGGAAGAGGGCAACCAGACAAAGTCTCACGTTTGAAAGTTAGGAATTCTCAGGCTTTCACCATTTCAATGACAGCTCACAGCTGCCACTGAGATTTCACTACAATCCTCCTTACGATTGCCTTTGCTTCCTCTGAACGTGACTTTATTCCCAAGATGAGCACACACTGCAGAGGTGCTCTACAACGCGCCTGGAGCCTACCTCTGTTTTGGTACGCTGCTTCTGCTCAGGTCAGGTGTGCACGAGAGAGGGAACAGCCTCATAATATGAAAGTCAAGTGCCAAAAAACTCCACGATGGCCGGATGCAACACGGCAGTGCCTGTTTTGAGCAGAAACGCACGTTTCCATTCGTCTCAGAAATGCCCCACTGAACTCTGGTGTCGGGTTATGCCCGCACAGGAGCTGCCCGAGGAGCAGGGCACTGCAGCGGGGCCGGCCAACACCTCCCACCGCACACAGCTCTGCCTGCTCCCCCCGGACTGCGGGGCAAGGGGAGCCCTGGCCAAGCCCAAAGGTTCCCCTTGCGCAGACCACACAGCGCCTGGAAGGGGCAAAGTCCTCACCCGACCCACCCCGAGCAGCACCGGGCACCACCGCTCTGCCCCCAGCGTGGACACCAACCCACACCAGCCTCTTCCCAGGCCGAAGAGTTGGCATTTCGGAAGGCAATGCCAGAGACGCGGTGACCAGGCCCTGTGCCCAAAAGAGCCCCAGGGGTGGGCGGCGCCACCCGGTCAGGAGCAGCGTCCCAGGAAAGGGCACCCCCTGTGACGGAGCCAGGGCAGCTCCCGCACCCACCTCTCCCCACAGAGCCCTGCGCCCTGCCCAGCGCTCGGCCTGCGGAGCCCCGTCCAAGCGGAGGACGCCACGGCAGGGCCTTCGCTGAGGCTAACGAGGAGGGAGGATTTACAGCGGTAACGGGGAGCACAGCTGCACCCACCACCAGCCGACCTAAACTGGGACCAGGCACCGTCGCCGTCGGTCGGAGCACTGCGGTCTGAGCAGCAGCGCGGGTAACCAGAATGGTATGACGAGCTCTCGGCAGGAACTGTTTTTTCCTGTTTGATGCTTCATCCAAATAAAATGTTTATAAACACACGGAACCGTTCCTGCCACAGCAGACCATGACCTGAGCGGCCGGGAGGGCCCCCGGTCGGACTCGGCGGCCCGGGCCCCAGCCGTCACACACAGCCCTGCCGGGCAGCAGACCCGCGGTACACAACAGCCGTCTACACCCGGCCGCTCCACACAACCGCGAGGCTTCACCGCATGTGCTGCTGCGCCCGTCCCCAGCGCAGCCCTGGCGGCGCACACGCCGTGGCCCCAAAGCCCCAAGCTCTAAATAGAGAGCAGAGCCCAGTACCGGCACACGTCTCC